GTATCTCCACGTTCACTCCGAGACTTCACCAGAAACTGCCAGCCCTCATGGAAAATTGCTCAACTGTGGTTGGATTATCAAACTGCAAATCCCTCAAGTTCCAGTCACTCAAGCCTGAAATTACTGAGAATTCCATCCAATCATTTCTAACCATCTCTATTCTCTACTACTTCAACTTCAGAGAAGTTTTTCTTCTCAAACACCCAACAATTTCTAGTTCTCCACTGCGACCAAAGTAGATAAGTAGACAAACTTATCCTATCTTTGATGATGTAAAGTCTCTGGAATTCATCATATCAGCCCATCACTCTTTAAAAGTACACATTGTAGAGTCCAGTTTGTACCAGCTTATTCCCAAGAGTTTCCAGCAAGTTCTTGCTCTTGCAGTCTAAGAACAGGTGTTCCACATATTCTATTTCTTCTCCACACCCTCTATAAATGTCATCCACCTCCACACCTTTTTCTTCTAAGCTAACAGCTAGTACCCAGAAAACCATGCTAGATCCTCTATACGAAATTTCTGATCTTATTCTTGATTGGTAGCTTCCCAGATCTGTCCCACATTCTTCTATCTTGACTGACCTTTTTGCTTGACTTAGCTTTTCCTTTGATGAGGGCTTGCTCTTGCAGCAGGAGTTCATAATAGGACTTCACTGTGCATAATCCTGTCTTGTGTCCCAGCCACCACCATTTTATCTTTCTGTCCTCTGTTATACAATGGGATTGAAAGAATTTTTTCTGCAGCAAAAGGGTTAAAGACTGGTATATTAACTCTTCATCCCAGTTTCTCCCATTTTGACTCAGAAGATCACTGACCCAAACCAAATTTCTTCTATCACTCTCACATTGGCACTCAAGTTTCTTTCCCTTAATGTTTGGGATCCAAGGGGATTCCCCAAATGTTAATGGCCTTACCATCCCCCACTCTAAACCCAATTCCAATGCCCAAATCACCCCTAGCTCTTAGCCAGCACCCCCAAAACCATGAATCCCCACTTCTTCTTTGAACACTAAACAAATTTTGATTACAAAGTATTTACCCTTCAAAACCTGGCTCATAAGAAGGTTAGGCTGAGTAACCACACCTCTAAAGCTGTTTCAGAATGAATTTTTCGATTGAAAATAATTTTAGTATGAAATACATGATGCCCAACCATTTGCTACACAGACCAAGAAAATTGATTTATAGATACTCAAAAGAATGTTTTGAGTTAGATGATTTTTCAAATACATTGGTGGGTTCTTTGAGATATATCTTAGTCAATATAATTAGCTTCTAAACATATTAAAAGATATGTCAAGTAGAATATGTCTTAGTCAATATAATTAGCTTCTAAGCAAATTAAAACATGTAAAAATCTTTGTGATCAGTATAAATTCAAGTGCTAGGAAGTCTAAATTCATTGTTTCTTTACTATGTTATGCATTAGTACCAAACTTCCGAAGTTAAATAACTTTCAAATTTTGTATCCGTATTTCATGATTTAAAATCAAAATAATACTTAATAAATTTAAATAAATCGCTAATCCAAAATTAAGTAATAAATTGAATAATTCATCACTTATTTAACACTTTTTGTGAGCAGGGTTCTTAAAGACTGGTATTTTCTTCATTGCTCCCTCCTTGAGGCTGTGAAATCTCCTAATAGTTCTTGGCTATGGAACAGTTGGACATATATGATTCCTATATTTGCTAGGGGGATTAAAATTGAAATCAGGAATGGTATCACTACTAGAATTAATGACTTCACCTGGGTCCCTCATCTTACTAAGCCAGAATCATTTATGCTTGAAATTGCTAAAGGACACCTGATTTGGGTAAGGGCCTTAATTTTGGCTAATGGACATGGGTAGGAATGAATGACTAATTAGACAGGTTTTTGGTGATGCTGACAGTGAGACAATCTTGAATATCAAAACTCTTAACTCAAGCAGAGCAGATGTGTTAATTTGGGGCTTTGAGGAAAAAGGGAACTTTTCAATTTAAAGCACATACTCCCATCTCATTAATCAGAAACTCCTGCATCTTGATATCCCATAAGCCAGCTCCCAACCTACAACAAAGAATCCATCAATCTACAGATGTTAGAAGTTGAACGTGGTGGGTAAGATCAAACATTTCCTTTGGAAATGTCTCTCTGGCACACTACATGTTGCTACTCATCTGAGGAAGAAAGGAATGAGCATTGACATTGTCTGCCCAGTCTGTGGTGAAGCCTCAGAAACTGTTGAGCATGTATTATCTTGTTGTTCCAGAGCTTGTAGATTGTGGGAACTTGGACCTGTACAATGGGATGGGATCAACAGCCACACCAGATCATTTAAACATTGGTGGCAACAGGTTTGTTCCCTCAATCACACTGAAGTGGCAAAAGCTAGAATTCAACTATCCACATATCTGCTATGGTGGCTCTGGAAATACAGAAATCTCTGAGTGTTCCAACATTCCCTACTTCCAGTGCACGTTGTTATCGAGGTAGCATATAAGGACCGGCTGGATTTCACCTCCTCATTGTGACTTTATTGATTTTCTGGGTGTAGTTTTATTTCTTTTGTTTTCTTGTTTGTTTGGAGTTGTTGAGTCTTAGCTAGGCTAATTAGCAGTGGGTAGGCTCATAGTTTCTTATAGTGACTATGTCTTATGGTTTTCCGAATTTGTTTAGTTGAGGTTCCAGGCCACATGTGCCTCTCAGTTTTATGTTTCGGTGTGACGGGGTTTTCTCCTTATGTATTAGAACATTGTTCTCTTTGAGTTATATATAGCAACCCTATTGTTCGGGAAAAAAAAAATCTCAATGCCTTCATTTATGAGTTGCATCAGCCACGAAAATATGAAATAAATAAATAGTCAACACTCTCATCCGCTGTTAGGACGAAAATGACAAATAAGTTTGTATTTATTGTACACATAGTATAAATGTATAATTATAGTCTATAATTAATAAATGTATATATTTTTCATATTTTTATTGTAATGAAACCAATCCGAGGAAAGTGTGTGTTGCTTGACCTGCAAGTTGGAATATATCCAATGACGAAAGTGGAGTTGCTTCTTCCTTCCACCGTAGGTTTTAGATTTTGACTTTTATATAGGGTTTACTAAGTCCAACAAAGTAAAGTTTGAGAGAAAAGGATAAAAATAAAAAAACACCCAGCAAAATTTCAATACGACAAAGTTTGAAAGGAAGTTGATCTGTTAAAAAGCTGTAAAAACTGTAAGCTGCTACACTCTGCAAGCAATTTAGCTGGGTTACTCACTGTCTTCTGTCTACAATATATGATACAGTTTTCAACAGATATACTCCATAATTATAAATAAAAAGTTAATAATTTTACTGCTTTGTTCAAAATTCAAAAGGTATATTAAATTAAAATATTGATATTTTCAATCTTTATAATATTAGATTATGACAGTGTAAATTATTAGAAAAAGGTGCAAATGGATCCTGCATTAAATTTAGGTAAAGTTGAAGAGAGAGAAATAGATATAAAAAAAAATATATATATATATAAGTATAAATGATAAACCCTAAAAAAATATTTTCATCTTTATCTCTCCTACATGTAAATGTGTAGAGAATGGAAATGCAGAAAATCCAAGTCCGGAAAAAGGTAGTATTGCTCGGTTTCCTTCAATTTTTTTTCCTTTCTGATTTTATTTTAAATAAAATAAGCGTGTTATTAAATAATTATATTTCATCCCTCATTTAGACAATAGAAAGGAAAAATCTTCCATATTTAAAGGTATATATCTAAATGATAGAAGCTTTTAATGGAGAAAAGAAAATTTTTTCAATATTTAAAGGTAACATCTCAATGATCGAAGCTTCTAATGAAGAAAATAATATTTCCCTCAGGATTCCAACTCTATCACTGAATGTATTCTCCCTGATATAGTACAACAAAAAGTTTGAAATAAAATATAAAAAAAAATTGCAGTCACCAGCAAATAATTTTGAGAGCAAGAATTTCCATTGCATGACGAGATAGCTGTGGTATGATGTATGAACATGCAGCAAGAAACAAGTGCTTCTGTGCTTCTACATTTAAATCCACAATCACAACCTCTTGAGTGTTGAGCAAACAAACTCGGCTAACAACTTCTACATAATTGACCAACACATATTCATCACCTTTCCCATTTTTGTCAAATAAATTTGGTTTTTCAATATTTACTTGGTGAAACAAAATCGATGGCCCAATATTATCACAATATTATCATTGGTAAAAGAGACTCTGTACAGTAGATTCAAGTTTCAACCAAGCACATCACGAGATTCTAGAAAGGAAAACACGTAAAAATCCTCAAAATTGCTATCTTACACCTCTTCTGGGAGTTATGGCGTGTCGTCAGGTACTCAAATCGCATTACTACTCGTCCGAGTAATTCTCTTAGCTTCCTCGAGGTCCTTCAGAAACCTATACATTCACCAGTTGAAAATGTCAAGCAACCCACAAACTGGAGACATACATTTAACCACGATAAAGTACAATGAAAGAGTTCACTACAGAAAGTATTATTATTATTATAGTTATTATTGTTATTGTTATTTCTTTCATAAGAGATCAATATTTATTTTCCGGTAATCAGGCATCTACACACACACACACCAAAATAAATAAATAAATAAATTCATATGCACATAGATTGAAGTAATTTATCTGCATGAAAACTGACATGATTAAGGACATCTGAAACAAATGAAATAATCGAGAATTGGGCACTGGAAATACATTTATTATGTAAAAAAATACAGACCTCTTGGAATTGAGGATAGCAGAACCACCAAGGATAAAACGAATTCCAGTGTTCGTAGCATTTTGTAGAGAAACAGAGCGTGCCTCCTCATAAGTAGTCCCGCCAACAATGAATATTATCACGTCCTGGGGCCTGTCAAATAAATGTATTTAAAGATAACTATGATCCAGTAGGCACTGTAAATATCATTATTGTGTTACTTGAATAGAACATGGCTCTATGCATATAATAGTCATCCTTGCTCCACTAACTCAAAAGAAAGCCCATCATTTACACTCACTTTTAAATGTAAGGAATACTAAGTCAGGCCAATATAAATATGTAAACAGAAATTTTCTTTAGAAAAGAAAAAGAAAGAAAATGAGAAACTCTGTTATATATTTTGAATGATACTATTGTAGAAAATATACGCAGTTAATATCAGCCACTCAAATTATACAAAAGGAGAAGAAAAACTAGCAAATCCAGATCTCGAGGAAAATAATTTAATCAGACAGCTTCAAAAAAGAGTCTTATTCAAAATTCCAACCTAGCTTGCTGGAAATGATTTCCAATATAAGGGTAGTCCACATCTCTCAGACGGCCTTTAACAATGCTCTCCATTGTTTGGGAGAGCAGAGGCTGATGCTGAGTATACACATTCTCCACCCCCTAAAAAAAAGAAGGAAAATATCATTTTCGTTGCCTAGAGTCTATACGGGTTTTGATGGAAACAGATACAAAGACTCATAAACCAACTTTGAGACCACGAGCCATGTTAAGTGCATAATTAAGTAGATCCCTGTTCCCATAAAGATCCCCAGTTCTTCTATCGACACCTGCTTGCTTCAGTAGGAACTGCACAAGCTGTAAAATCCAACAGAGTGGATGTCATGTATGTACTCAAGCATTTAGTGCATATAAAGAAGCATAATTTTTCATGTTTAATGAGGTTGACAGAAAAAAACTGGTGCCAGATAAAATGGCATACCCCAGGCTTATACTTGGGAGACCGGGCTGCCAATTTGTTGAATAACTGCATCAGCTGAACAGGACTTTCTTTTTCATATCGCAAAGCATAGAGCATAACCAGGCGTAGACGATCAACATCAGAGATATTTTCATCATTCAAAAGATTTGTAACAGCCTGCACAGAGTTATACAGTAGAACTCAATTTACCAGGCGATAAGTAGCATGATGTCCTGTTATCATTGATCACATCCCAAACCTAAACAACCTCAATACTGAAGTTTGCTGTTTTTGAATAAAATATGCATAAATGTTTATGAATCTCAAGTGAACTTCTTTGGTATGCAACTCCTTACAATTGATTGTGTAGCAAGTTTTGTAACCACTCAGATACAGTTTTCCCGCATATTGGTTACTTATTTCCACTTTGACATCATTTCCATTTTTCTGCAATTTATTATCAGCATGCCAAGGCATCTATAAATCTAGTCTTCGCCCAAGATATAGTGATAAATCCCGGCTGAAAAATAGTGAACAAGAATCTCAAGTTTCCAGAGCATATGCAAACCAATTGTGAAGCTCATTGTACCTCAAATGCTGCTCCTTGCCCACCATTGCAAGCTAATTCTTGTTCCGTTTGTGACACTAACATTAGTTTCCGTTCTTCAACAATCCTGCTCATTTCGGTAACCAGTGTCACATGCTTAGAAACATTGCCATGCATTTTTCTGTATTCTGGGTAGTTGTCAACAAATTTGGCCATATCCTCTGCACAAATTCAAACATGTTAATATTTCTGAACCCATCAGCAGCTACAAGAAGGTGAAAATGACTACGCAACCACAAAATAGAAAATATGATTGAATATATCCACTACAGAGCACATATGACTGAAAAACAAACCTATTGTTTGAATACTCTGATTGCTTTTGGCAACTTGTTGAAAATCATCGACCATCTTTTTAATATTCATACCAATATCTCCAAAATTCTCATACATGTTTGTTTTGAAAAAGGCATCTTGCTCTGAAGACAGCACAACCTCCTGAGAGAACAAACAACAAGCTGAAATTCACCATGAATTGGACAGCATAAAGTAGAAAAACATTGCTGTTTAAAATGAAGAACAACCTGTTGATCCTTTGATGACTTTCCAATGTTTTTGAGGTCCACCTTATTGTCTTGAATGCCTATCAACTCATGAACCATCGCCTACGGACAAAACAGCAAATCCGTTTATATACATTTAACTTGAGAAAAAGAAAAACATATCCTCCATCATCAAAGAGCATAACCTGGTATGTCCATTGGTTCAAAAGGGGAGTCACAGGGTCATCTCGCCTATCAACAATAAGCAACAGTGGAGAAACTTCCGTTCGCCTAAAGTCAAAAAGACCACTTTCCTGCTGGTACATGAGCTTCTGCAATATCAGCAAATTAGGAATCTAAAGTCAGTTCCGTAGTAACTTTACAATTAGAAAAGCACTCCAGAATATCTCTTTCTATATATGTATATACATATAGATATAAAGGGAGGGAATGTTTCTATATATAAGGGAATTGCGTACTGTGAGTAGAATTGACATATTTCCCACCAAAATTTTTACACTTTTTTTTTATTGGAAATTTTATCTATATATTTTATTTGATTTTTTGATTAATTTTCTTCCATTTATTCGATTTTTGTGATTACGGAATTGATTGAAATAATATTTGTTAAGTTTAATGTGTTGGATTTCTTTCTTTATATAGTATCATATAATAAATATCAGGAATGAATTAAATATAGTAACATAAGTTATAAAATTGAATAATTTGATAAAAATAATTTTGAATATAGTGTATGACATTTATCATTTCCACACATGAATTTATTATTTTATCTTTTTTGCTTAAAAATATTATTTATCTACCTTTTTATTTATGGTTTTTACTTATATTTAATTGTTTCTTAATTATTGTGTATATTCAAATTTTAATTATATGTTTAATTACATATATGGTACCAATTAATTTTACTTTTTTTATAAAATGTTCAGCCCACGGGTCACATGAGCGCTTACACTAGTACCAAAGAGTTCAGTAGGCGTATCAGTAATAGGAAACTTTGGCAATTACAGTTAGGTTTCAAGCAACCGATGTTATTTTATGGGTGTTCTTACCGAAGCTTCTTGTGCTATCCGTTTTGCAATATCAGATGTTCTTGAATAACGAATAATGGGCCTTCTTTTGAAGGCCAGGAAAATGGCGGCGATTCCATCAACCACTCGGTCACAAAAGTGCTGTAAACTTGATGGATCTACCACAGCCGGGAGCATATACATGTGATTTGAAGCAATATTAAAGGTGAAGTGATAGGGATCAACCGCAACAAAGTCAGCATAGAACTCCTGTAGACAGGAACCAAATTATTCAAAATCGATTGACAAGTCAACCAACTGGAGTTAAGTGATTCCAAAATTAAACTATTAAAGCCAACAAGTTGGCAAGTTAAGTGCATTGTTTACACTCATAACATTCCTGGCAATGTGAATAACAGTATAACACTAAATAGCCCTTCTTCAATCGAAACCAGTAGAAGCTAATTTTGTGGAATCAATGAGTTACCTGCACTTGCTGAACTATTTCATGCTCATCGGAGTCGGCTAAATTGTGAAGTTGGGTATCTTTCAACATATTGGAGAAGACTGTAAACAACAAGCACTTCAATCACTCTTACAAAGTAGATTTCATTAATAACAAGATAAAGGCGCTTTATCTAGTTCAGGGGTGAAAAAAAAAATTAATTCCTATAACAATACTCACAGAGGTGGTACTCTCCAAACCGAGGTGTAGCAAGCTGACGTCTCATTAGTTGAATGTTATCAGACGTAGGACGGAGAAAATAAACAGCTTTAAGATGTGACATAGGTTCTTTAGACATGGAAGTGGAGTCTACAAGTTCCACCAAAAATACTTCTTTCTGAAGAAGGTCCGATTGAGAATATACTACGCTCACGATACTAACCTGTAATACATTGAATATCAAATTTACATAAGTGTGTAAATTAACAAACTCATGAAATTAGACTTTAAGTTTCACGAGAAGTCCTTAAAGAAATAAGAATACAAAGAATAATCAAATTTCACCACAAGACACATAAATTTTCACCAAACAATAGTACCTATAATCAAAATTCCATAACACACTAAATTTTCACCAAACAATACCCTAAGATAGCAAGCTGTGATTGATCGATTGATAGAGCATTTTTTTTATTGTGTTCTGACTATTACTACAATGTACACCCTGAAAAGTGTCAAAAGGACTCAAGTTACCTATTGCACCGACTGTGATCTTCTTATTAAGCTCAATATCAGAACTAAATAGCTCCATGATATTTTTTTATATAATTCTTACAACACCACTTATCTACATCCCAGATAGCTCCAGATTTAGTCCCCAAAACTCCACACTAAAAACTAAAAAAATAATATCACCATTTTTTTCCGAATGAAATACAGCATATATCCTCACTAGTTCATGACATTAATTTCTAACCGCAACTAAGAGTATACATCTGATTAGGAATCATTGAGTTATGAGAGCATCAAAACATGATCCACAAAAACAAAAGGAAACCGACGACAAATTATATAGATGAGGAATGTCCCATGAGCTAAAGAAGGCACCGTGTGAGAGTCGAGGATGAGGACTTTCATCCCAGAAATGTCCTGTAACATGCGATTTATGTAATCTCGTACGGCTGTCACCATCACCATTTCTTCTTTCTCGAAATGTTCACCTCAATGAGCGATCTGATCAGCGTATTTGTGCAATACTAGAAAGGGTTTACGATATTGGTAAGGGGAAAATCAGAACACAGGGGAATTTGGACAAGAAGATCCTGGGAGGAGAAGAAAGTCTGACACGACGTCGTTGGGTACATTGTTGCCGGGATTTTTACTTTTATTTTATTTTTATATATTAGTTTTTAGAAATTTAAGGGGCTACCGAACAAGAATTATTTATTTATTTAAAAATAAACAAAAATAACTGGACAAAAATAAAAAAAAATAAAAAAAAAAGTGGGTGGAAATAAATCAAACACACGTATTCCGAAAATACGTTTTTAACTATAAAACGTATTTCGGACATACGTTTGAACATATAAACCGTATTCCTGAAATACGGTTTAAGTTAATATGATTATGTAACGTAATTAAGATAATTACCTTGCTTAAAAACGTATATCGAGAATACGTTTTTAGTTGTAAAAAATTAATACGTATTTTCGAAATACGTTTTGTAATTAAAATTAATTTTATAATTATTTTCGAATTATAAAACGTATTTTCACAATACGTGTTTTAAATGAAATGAATTTTTAGAATTTTGAAAATACAATTTTGTTGGACAAAATAATTTAAAACATAAAACGTATTTCGGAAATACGTTTTTTGTACAATTCTTCCCCTAAATTCAATTTTGCCCCAATTCAATTTTGCCCTAAATTTATTCATATATAAACGTATTCTCAAAATACGTTTTATGAACAAAAAAATATAAAACGTATTCCCAGAATCCGTTTTAAGCTGCAGAAAAAACAAAATTTTTGAATCCATTTGAAGAAACCAACCTGTTCAACCAACATCAATCAACCCAACATACACATATCAATCAACCCAACATACACATATCAATCAACCCAACATATAAAAGAAGATCAAAAACAATAATTTATAGAAGAATCACTATATACAAAAAGATCAAAATACGGTTGACACACGAATATATCCACAAATTTCAATACATAAAACACAAACTAACTATGAAGATGAAGGAGTGAATGGTTGCCTAGGTTTGCGCAGTCGAGCCCCCCTCCGGAGCTCTGCGAGAGGCGTGTCATCATCAAAATCGTTCTCATTCTCTTCTCCTTCGTCCTCATTCTGTTCTCCTTCGTCCTCTTCAACTGAGTAATGCATTTAGTAAAAAAAATCACAAACTCGACTTTAGGAAAAAAATAAAAATAAAAAAAGACCAAAAAATAATATTTTGTTAAGTAAATAAATCTTACATTCTTCAAGGCCGAGGTTCTGAGATTGGAGGTGCTGGGGGGAGGGTGGATTGGTTGGGCGTTGTTCATTTTCGCGGTCACGGGGCCGAGGTCTTCTACCCCCACCAATGTTCGCAGCGGGTCGATGCCTCGCGGTGTGGGACTGTGTCCTCTGGGATGGAATGTAGTCGTCCTGGGATAGAACTTGACTTGACGACGCCCCTTGTGTAAGACCTCGGCCTCCAACAGTCAGAGATGTGTATGCAAAGTTGAAAGACTGTTGGAATGCGGCTTGTGCCTCTGGAGGGAATGTAGGCATTAAGTGTTGAATACTCGTTAAGGAGTTATAAACCCCCTCCAGGCCAGAAGTCTGAAAATAAAATTCAAAGTAATTAGTATGAAATGAAACAACATAAATAAAAAATAATAATAATAATAATAATAATAAAACCACAAATTATTATGAACACTTACCTCGCACCCTAACCGCTCGGCAAATGACTGATAGCCGCCGGCCTGTTGGAACACAGCGTAATTGCCAGGGTTACTGACGAGTCTCACAGTCCTACTGCGAAACCAATCGAGGTAACCCTGCTCTGGCTGCAGGAAGTCATACGCAGGGGCAATTGGGATGAGATGTAGTTCTCTTTCATCGGCCCATGTCTTCGTAAGCGGTGAATGAAAGAGGGCCCAATCACCGAATGCCCGCCCAGTCATTCCTTGGCCGGCGTGGTGTCTGGCCCAGTCTTGCTCACCCGTAATGATTGGATTTTGGGGGATGGACTGACGACACCCAAATTGCCGCATGACCCTATCAGGCAAGTGTAGCTCACGGCTGCTCCAACAAAACATCCACCCCCGGTACAGCCAAAATTGTTTATCTTCTGTACACTCACTCGGGAGAATACCAGCATCCAGATACTGTTCATAGGGCAGCCAATCGAACTGTAAAAAAAAAATAAATAAATAAAAAAAAAAATTAATTAGGAATTACGTTATAAAAATTAAAAACAAAAAATAAGGATAAATAAAACAATAAGAATTAAGAATCTTACGTCCGTCTCTTCCAGCCCTGTCAACTGATCCCGGATAGGACCCGTTCCTTTGCCTACATGTGTCAAATCTTTTTTTCCCACCCACCTTCAAAATCACATAAAAAAAAAAAAAAAAAATAAAACTTTGTAAGAAACTAATATTGATAATGGAAATACCCTACGTATAAAATATAAATAAATGTTATTACCTTGCACCTAAGGGGCAACCACTGATTATGTCAAACTGCGTTTTCTTGGACTTCATTTTTGGGCGAATACGAGGGATACGCTCCCACGCCCAAACCTACACATGTTGACATATGAATTTGTTATTTAATATTAGTAGTCTAACTTGGAATAAAAAATTATTATTTTTCAAAGAAGAATCAAATAAATTTACCTGAATCAATTGTACACAGCTCTTGATCCACCATTGACCTTCCTTGTAAGAGGTGCACAGCGCTCTATACACTGCGGTCAAGAGCGCTGAACCCCAGCTGTACCCCTTAATTCCATCTATGTCCTCCAGCAGCTGCAGCCAGTAAAGATTCACGCCATTCGCCCGCTGGTCCGGGAAGAAGAAGGACCCAAGGCACCACAGGATAAGGGCCCTCGCCCTCTGCTCGTAGCGGCTGTCTGGAGTCCATCTCCCAGATGTATTGAGCATTCCCTTTCTAACTCCAAACCCTTCAAAAACTTGCCTTTAATGGTCCAATTAGAGGAATCAAGCGCCGCTTCCTCTTCTTGGGTGGTGGGGGCATCCTGCGATCAATTTTTTATAAGGTTAAAAAAACATATATATAGGAAAAAATATATATATATAGAAAAAAATATACCTCGACATAGGGCTGAAACCCTAACAAGTCCTTGCACCTATCACGCCATGCTTGTGGTGTTTTATCTTCCGTCACTCCCAAACAAGCAGTTCCATTGACGGGCAGACCGAAGAGCACCTGTACATCCTGGAGGGTGATCGTGGCCTCCCCGAAATCGAAATGGAAGGTGTGCGTCTCCGGTCGCCACCTTTCCACTAGACCGGTAATGACGGCGTTGTCGGTTTGGACTCGACCCATTCGCAACAAGGGCCCAAAACCGGTCCGGTCGATCACCTCCCAAACCGACGGATGCTGTTTTGGCAAAGCCTTCCATAACTGAGTGTCGTAGCGACGGTTTTTAACCGTGTCGCTACGATATCCCGGTTTATCTTCGAAAACCGCCCGTGATCGGTGGCAGTACTGAAGATATAACAAACTCGAATCCCTCGGACCAGGATGTACACTGTATCGCTGAGGCTGCGATGACGACGAAGATGAAGCCATTATCTACAATTACAAAAAAAAAATAGATACACAATAAATTATATATGTATGTACAATTCCAAGAAGAAATAAAATTAGTGGATAAACTGTAATTTTAAACAATAACCAATCAAACGATTTGATTTACTCTATTTATTTATATGATTTAATTGTGTTTTGTTTGAATGTGTGAAATAACATAAATTAGTAACAACATATATTTGTTTATTTTCGTCATTTGTAGAATCTAATAATTATTACTTTTATGATTTTATACATATTAAACAAATAATAAAACTAAAAATAATTACACTATCTTTAATCCTATAATTTAGAATATTTATATATAGGTATATGTTATAAACATTTATTAAAGGAAAATAAATAAAATTTCTTTAGAGAAAAAAAAAAATTTTGTTTTACGATTTACCATTTTTCTACCTATCCTTAACGAGCATTTTAAAATAAACAAACTGTAATCCACGAAAATTGAATTTTCTACCTATCATTAACATGCATTTAGATTTAATCGAAGCCCTAAATTGACAAAAGCCCCAAATCGATCACCCCAACACTAACCCTAACCCTAACACTAATCCACCAAAATTGACAAAAGCCCCAAATCTATTATCAACTAACCCTAACCTTAATCCACCAAAATTGAAACAACATATATAATTCAAACAACCCTAAATGAACAAATATATATACAAACAACCCAAAATTAAAACACACATTCAATTTTCGAAAAACAAAACTAATGAACAAATTAACAAATTGAAACACACAAAACTTACATGTCTAATGTAATGGCAGCTGAAGTGCGGCGGCAAGCGACGGCGGCGGCGGTGAAATTTTTTTTTTTCCGATGTCTCTCGCTCTCTCGATCGCTCTCTGTACTCTGTACTCTCTCTGTGCTGTTCGCGTAAGAAAGAAAGAAAGAAGGAAGAAGAAAGTACTTATATTTAATTCAAAACCGTATTCTCGGAATACGTTTTCCATTTGGCATTATTTATAAGCCGTATTCTCAGAATACGTTTTATATTTATATCCTAAATATAAAACGTATTTCTGAAATATGTTTTATAAATGTTAAAAAAATGGAACGAGGTTCCCAGATTCGGGACTCGAACCCGGGTTCGGGTGAGTCCGTTATCTCTGGGGGCGCCTCGTTACCATTGGGCCGCACTAGGCTATCGCTGAATAACTTGCGCAACATTTATTCTTATCCTTCAACATCAAGATCTTTTATAGTATAAACATATAAACTATCAAGTATAACATATAAATTATATTCTATATAAATTAAATTATATAGTATATATATTAATTATAAATATATATTATATAGTATATATCATATAGTAGTACTATATATATTATATAGTATATATCATATAGTAGTACTATATATAATTATATAGTATATATCATATATCGGAATTAGTACAATTGAACTCGAATTAGTACAATTGAAGTCAATTATAGTGAAATCGAAATCGAATTAGTACAATTAAAGTCAAATTAGTACAATTGAAGTCAATTATAGTGAAATCGAAATCGAATTAGT